GAGGTAGGGCGAGGTTCCGATGGGGTAGGATAAATTGACATCCCTACTTGTAATTCTCGATCTTAAGTCCTCATGGACATTCCAATCTCATCTCTTCTCCCTATAAATTTTCGTCCTTGACCTATCATAAACACTCAATCCAACCATTATTTTACCATCAAACTTGCCTCTTAAAACTATATTATGTGAAAAACTCAGCTTGACCCTTTTTTAAAATGCTATACTCTTAAGGGCTTTATAGATGACACTCTTTCTACCCCTCCTCTTGAAATACCTAATTTCGAAACTTCTATCCTATAACCTAATTCAACTTATAATGAATGGTTTAAAAAGGACAAAACTTTATTATCCTAGTTATTTTCCTAATTCACAAAGAAATAATTTACTTATGTTGTTGGCTTCAAGAGTTCCTATCGGGTTTGGCAAGCCTTAGAACATACATATGGATTTAATTTTGAACAATGCCAACTTCAATCGCATATGTAGTTATTGAGTTAACTACCGAAGACAAGAGTCTTGCTCAATTCCTTTAGGAAGCTAAATATTTGGTCGATGAATTAATAGTTTCGAAAACCTTCTTTCTACTTCGAATTTAATGCAATTATTTATCGCACATTATGCATCATTAACATAACATTATTCTTGCCTTTTCTATTCAAAGGAAGTAGGCTTCTTTCATGAACTTAATGGCCAATTGATAGCATATGAAATGCTACTAAATAGCACACATGCCAAAACCTTTCCATCAATGAATGTGGTGCAAAAATCATATACTCTAGCAAGTTCTTGTCATAATGTGTCACACATTGGCAACAATAATTTTTTTAGTAGCAATACCTTTAATGGTAATCAATTTAGAGGCTATAATTCTGAAGGATATCAAGGAAGGCCTAATAACAATTTCAAAAGAAATAATAAATGCAATAAGAGAAAGGGTTCATTTCGGATTACATAACCATACTACAAATAGCATCAAAAAATGATATGAAACAAAAAGGCAATCTATGCCTTTCAGTCCTTCTTATAACTCAACTCCTCTACTACTACCATACTATCAAGTGCTCATTATTCATATTTTCAAAGTCAACAAAGTGCTAGCCTTCCGACTTATCCACCTTCGTAGTGACATTTCGATATTGTCTGCTACAAATCACATCACAACATATTTGAGTAATATCTTGACATAAGATTACAAAAGTTTAGATAAGTTAGTGGTTGGTAATGGGAATGGACTACCAATTGCACACACTAAGTCATCAAATCTATATACTTGATATAAGATCTTCAAACTCCATAATATTTTGCATGTTCCTTCCATTGCTAAACAACTTTTATCTATTCAATAATTTACAAAAAGACAATAATTTTTTTTTTAATTTCATCATTATCATTTTTTTTTTTTTTTTGTGAAGGATCAAAATATCGGAAAACTACTTCTATGAAGCATAGCTAAGGATGACATCTATAAATTTTAGGAAACTATGAAGCAGATTCCATTAGCGTTTCATGGAGCAAAAATTTCCTTTATTTATGGCATGCTAGATTGGGACAATCAAGTTGAAAATCAAGTTTTCAAAACTATGAATTTATCTTGTTTTCATTCTTTAAAAATAAATGTAGTTCTTACCTCTTTGGAAAATCGTTTAGGATTTCCCTTTCAAGTACAAAAAATTTTAGTAGTTTTTCTTTGGATTTAATTCATTTAGATGTATAGGATATTGCTGTAATTTCATCTTTTAATGGATAACTTTTATTTTGTTTTGTTCATCGATGATTTTTCTTAATTCACATGGCTTAATCCTATTAAAAGAAAAAGTGATGTTTATGCCTTTTTTTTTCTTGCAATTTCAGGCTTTAGTTAAAAGATAATTTAGTTCCAAAATCAAAAGTATTTCAATCTAACTAAGTAGCAGAATTTTGTTCATTAATCTCTCCCTTTTAAAAATATGGTATTCAACCCAAGATTGCTTGCATGCACATATACGAACAAAATGGAACTTTAGAGAGAAAAAATTAGACAATTGCTTTATATAGGTTTAACTCTTTTAGCTTATAGTTCTACTCTTTTAAAATTTTGGAACTTTTCTTTTGAAATTGCTACTTATCTTGTAAATAGGTTGTCCTCACCTGTTCTCAATCACAAGTTTCTTTATGAAAAGCTTCTAATAAAAAAATTAAATTATAACTTTTTCAAGATATTTGGTTATGTTGTTTTGCTTTTATTATGTCTATTTATACCCAAATTTAATTGGGACTCGACAACCGAAAAAATTAGTGTGGGCCCAATGAAGCTTTAATTATAAAGCTCACATTAATAAGTCCTTAAAATCTATCCGTGCCGTCCAAAGTTAAATCCATAAGATAAAGCTTAGGCAAGCCCACATACCAACAAAAAAAAAGGCTCCAAAAAGTTTTATACTCAAAGAGACTTGACACAATTCTAAACAGATCTAAACAGAATTATGTTATGGATTAAAGATGTAGGAAGTTAAGTCCTATTTGTAAGAAAAGGCTAACAAAAAGTAACATAATTGAACGACTAGAGCTCAAAATAAAGGGACGTGATTATATTCCAATGAATGAGCGGGAATACTAGAGACTCGCAGAGCACCGTAATCACTACCGTAATTAAAGGGATTAGCGACGATCTAGACTATCGCTAATTCCATTAAAACGATTGCTAAATTTCATTAGCGACGATATCATGATGGTCTTAAAATCATCCCTAAAATGCTCCTCGCTAATATTTTGCGACGGTTTATGGGTCGTCACTAATTTAATGATGGACAAAACCATTGCAAAATAAGAAAAAATAGCGAGGGAAACAACGATGGTTTCGGTCGGACCATCGCAATATAACCAAAATTAACGACCGTTAAAACCTCACTAATTTCGTCACTAGTAATTTATTTCCAATCAATTTTTTCACTTTACCAACATTTTAAATATTTTAAAGTAACCAATTGCTATTTAAAAATCTAAAAAAAAAAACCAAAACATAATATTTTAAAATTTCATAATATTTATTTATTATAAAATTTATTAAAATGTAATAAATATTTGATTATTAAATTCTAAAAAAAAAGTTGAAAATCTATTGTTATTACAAGAAAACATGAAAACTAAGAGAGATCGACAAGGTCGTCACTCGAGGTTTGGTGGAATCATCACGAGGTTGAGTGGAATCGTCAGTGTTAGACACGACGGATGAACTACCTTGTCGCTTATACAACAACATCTACTCGCATCCGTCTCATCGTCGCATGTTGCTCTCGAGTGTACTCCTTTAACTCATTTGTTGTAGCCAACGAGCGATGTCACAATACCCTATAGATCCCGGATCCGTTCCGTATGTGCTACATGTCGATCCTCGAATTCCTTTTGTTATGCCTCATCACCAACATGGAACCGCGAAGTTGTCGAACTAGAAGGTGTACTTACGTTAAAGTAATAATGAGAGGCGTGTGACCCGAGTCCGTACATCCTTTTTCTCTTGCTATCTTTTCCTCCAACGACCTTATTAAAAATCTCATTAATGTTGATGTCGATCGATGAAGTCCTCTCTATCCGTCGGCTAACAACCTCCTTGTCAATTATTTTTTTCTACGATCTCCTATATAATTGTAAAAGATATAATATTAAACGACTATATCAAATAACATTATAAATTAATATTAGATCGCATAAGTCACATACGTATATGTATGAAATAACGTTATAAACTAATAACTTACTCCGATAACTCTTAACTCGTTCATCGACGTAAACATATTGATCATCAACCTTTTTCCTACGAGTCTTCAAGAAAACCTCGTGAGAATCGAGTTCACGACCCATCTTCTTACGCTGAAACAAATATACGTAAATGTATGAAATATACTCAAATATTTAATTAATTATATTAAAATCATTATAAAAAAATTATATATATATATATATACACACACACACACACACACACACACACACACACACACACACACACACACACACACACACACACACACACACCCCATGCGTATTGTATGCTCTCTATGACTTATCGATCCCCCCATATATCTTGAAGGACCAACTCCGACGCCACCAATCTTGCTTCGCGGTTTTGTGCTCGCCATCTCGGATCGGACAACGAACTCAAGTTTTGCATATTTTGTACATTATGCATCTCATATGTCCTATGAGATATATGATCACTAAATATAAAGACTTGTTCTACTAAAAAGAATGAGGCTTTGTTGATCTAAGTGATATGACCTAATACAATCAGTTACGAGTCGTGAAGCTAGAGGACTAATGAAGTTTCAAAGGGACATAAGGTGCCACATTTATTGTAGAAAGAAAATATATATATAACATAAAACTAGAGCCCGTTCGGCCTTTATGAGTTGTGGAATTAGGCAGGTCATGCCGATGACCACACACATGCTTGTCCTTGTTTTCTCCTTTCATCTTCTCTTCTTCGTTTAATTTTGAACAGATATTAATCAGGATAGCTTATTACTCAAGTTCCAAAGTAACGAAATTAACTAAATATACCCAGTAAGCATAAGCCAAGTCTAAGATGTAAAATAACGCGTAGATTCCTATAGCTTTGCGCGTTCGATCTCCTCTCAAACCCCAAGCCACACTTGCACATTCTTGCAAATATATATATATATATATATATATATTGGACTTAGACTATACATTTTCATATATTTTAAACCAAGAGCATGAAAATAAGCTAAATTTTCATATGTTGAGATCAATATAGATATAATTAAATCAATGATAGAATGACCAAAATTATTATCAGGTGCTTTAAAGAAAAAGCTCTAATGCCCTTCCCTATCCTTAATTTTAACCAACTCTCAAAATTTTTTCTTTTGTTCCTTGTAGTCACCTCCTTTTTAATCACTACTCTCCCCTATGGAGCAAAACCCATCTATGACAGCAAAGTTATAAGAATTGGTGCAATCATTGATGTCAATTCAAGAATCGGGAAAGAAGAGAAAACAACAATGGAAATTGCAGTTCAAAAGTTCAAAAATGAATCAACAAATCACAAGCTATATCTTTACTTCCAGGACTCACAGAGGAGCCCTCTCCAAGTTGCCCGTGCTGGTAATAGGCTAGTCTTTTTATCTCATTTTATGTTGTTGCTATATATATTTATGTACTTTTAAATTTAGTTATGACAAAAGTAACTAAATTCTAAAAGGCCTTCTGAATTTTTCTTACAGCTGAAAAGTTGATTGAAGATAATGAAGTGGAAGTGATTATTGGCATGGAGAGATGGGAGGAGGCAGCTTTAGTTGCTGATATTGGAAGCCAAGCTAAAGTTTCAGTTCTATCTTTCTCGGCACCTGCCATAATACCACCATTAGCATCATCTCGTTGGCCTTTTCTGATAAGGATGGCTCACAATGATTCTCAACAAATAAGATGCATTGCAGCAGTTATTCAATCGTATAACTGGAGGAGGGTTATAACAGTTTACGGAGATTATGCATATGTTGGTGATTCTGGCATGTTAGCTCTTCTATCTAAGGCTCTACAAGATGTTGGTTCAGAGATTGAATACAACTTAATTCGTCCACCATTTCCTTAATATCTGATCCCAAATATGTTGTTCAGGGAGCTCTGACAAAACTACTAAGTGGAAAAATACAATCTCGGGTTTTTATCGTGCTCCAGTCAGTGTTGCCTATGATGATTCACTTGTTTAGAGAAGCTAAGACGATGGAATTTGCGGGGAATGACGCGGTATGGATCCTTACATATACAGTTACAAGTGTCTTGGACAACGTTAACACTTCTGTTATTTACTCTCGGGACGGTGCCCTAGGAATCAAGAACTACTATCATGAAAATACTAGTTCCTACCAAAATATCCAAACCCAATTTCGGCAGAAATTCATATCTGAGTATCCGGAGGAAGGTTACTATGAGCCTGGATTTTATGCTCTAAGAGCATATGACAGAATCGCTACCATCATACAGGCCATGGAGAGGACGTCTAGTAACAATAGCAGTCCGAAAATGTTATTGAATAACATATTATCAACTAATTTTGTTGGCTTAATTGGCGAGATACAATTCAAAGCCGGTGAGTTGTCGCGTATTCATATGCCAAGGATTGTGAATGTGGTTGGAAGGAGATACAAGGAGCTAGATTTCTGGACACCTGATTTTGGATTCTCAAACAAACCTGTGGTGACAAAAGGTGAAGCTGAAAAAAGTACGGATTCCGTAAGGTTGAAATGGACTGTGAATTGGTCGGGAGACCTACAACGAAATCCGAAAGGTTGTTTGATGCCTAGTAATGCAAAGCGGATGATTATCGGCATTCCTGGTAGGACATCATTTGAGAAGTTTGTGAAAGTATCAACAAACACTGCCGGTAAGAAGAAATATGATGGTTTCTGCATTGAACTTTTCCGTAAGGTGCAAGGAGTTTTGGAGTATGATCTGCCGTTTGATTTTGAACCCTACAATGGCAACTATGATGATCTGGTGGATCACCTATACAATAAGGTAAGAACTTAATCTTTTACTTCTAAATATTCAAATTAATTTAAAATATTTAAAAACCCTCAAATTTAAATTAATTTTTCAAATATTTTTTAACAATAAATCTTTTTTTTTTTTTCACAATATCCATATTGCTCTAGTTGTCTAAAATTTTCTTAAACGTAAAAATAGTCAGAAATTTCACCATAGTCATTGCTGGAGAGAAGCATACACGTCTTTAAAAAAAAATAATAATAATAATAAAAAATAAAATCAAGGGAGAATAGAAGAAAAAAGAGGTTTGAGCAAAAAACTAATCGAATTTTTATTCTTTAAGGGTCAGGGATTTTATAGTTCAATCGTCTCTTTCTCTCAAACATTAATCAATTTCAAAGAATGATCTTACGGGTTAGGAATTTCGCACGTATTTCTTTAATTTGGAGATAGGGTTAATTTCTCATTTTAATTCTTTAACTTAAGATGCCAATCAAAGAACTTGTGTTTTTAATACATTAGTTCATTTCATTCTTATGTGCAAAAAATTACACTGGAAATAGATCAACAGAAAAGTTGGACTCGATTGCTGATAAAAAAAGATTTGGGATCCAAATCGAAAAAACTCAAGGTTGGATACAAAGCTTTAGAACCAATTAGTCTTTATTTTTATATGTAATAAAAATTTGTTAGTGCATGTGCATCCTTTGTATATAACCCCATTTTAAAGAGAGAGAAAATCAAAATAAATCAACTTTGTTTTTTTATTCCCTTATTCAAAATATACTTGAGAAGAATGACAATTTTTTTTCCTTTTTTTTTTAACTATGAATAATGTCTAGAGATTTCGACAGCTAGTTATTGATTGATAATAATATAATTTGCAGCTGCAAACCAAAGCTTAACCTAAGTAATTATTAATTAATAAGATGGAGAGTTTCAACCAGAGATCCTAAAAGTCGAACTTGTCCAAAACGAGGAGACCTCTGCAGAAAACGAGCAAAATATCTTTCTATTTCATGCTTTGCTGATGCTTGTTCTCCAAGACTTGATGCTGTAAAGGAGCAGTGAGGCCTTGGACTATGAAATTATTTATCTAGATTCTTTGTTGCTGTTCTGTTTCCTTGTATTTAAGCAATGCGTTTCTAATAGAGATTTTTGCTTATCTTTTGTGCTATATTTTTCTGAAGACGTACGATGCCATTGTTGGTGATGTAACCATACTAGCCAACAGATCAGATAAAGTTGAATTCACTCAACCATATGCGGAATCAGGATTGTCAATGATAGTTCCGGACAAGTCCGAGGAATCAACATGGATTTTTATGAAACCTTTTACAAAGGAAATGTGGTTGGCCACTGGATCCATATTGATCTACACAATGTTCGTAGTTTGGTTCTTGGAACATCACACTAATCCTGAATTTAAGGGCCAGTTGAAGAAACAGATAGGCACAGCTCTCTGGTATACTTTCTCCTCTCTTTATTTTGCGCACAGTAAGTGACATATGAGAAAATTTTAAAACTAGAATAATTTCTCAAGTATGAACTCGAGAAAATGCATTTCGCCTAGCTTTGGCAGCTGCATTTCTTACTGCATGATATAGCATTTTAATAAATAGTTGAATTTCATAGATATAGATGGAGATATTAGTTGACTCTTTATTGAGAGTTAAAACCACTCATAAGACTATTGCGTTTTACTTCAGGGGAGAAAATATATCGCAACCACACCAGAGTGGTTCGTCTAGTGTGGCTCTTTGTTGTATTGATCTCAAACTCCAGCTACACAGCCAGTCTGACTTCAATGCTCACTGTCCGATGCAAATACGAAGGGGAATTTGACAGTGCCAGCATACTTCTGCCTTTCTTGAACTCCCATATGAGAAAGTTTTCGTCAGTCATTACTGCAAGCGATATAGTGCAACCACACCAACCTATAGATTTGGAGGATTAGGCTTTGTAAGTTCTTGATAGATTTCTTAAAAAATTTCCATCTCATCATCGTAAATAGTCAAGTAATTACTATAGCTTTTTCAAAACGCAGTTTTCCCACTTAACCAATAGAAAACTACTCTGATTCTCTGTTCAGGTATTTCAGAAACGCTCTCCAGTAGCCGCAGTTGTTTCCAAAGCGATCCTGAAGTCATCGGAAAATGGAGAGCTGAAAATTTTGGAAGACAAGTGGTTTTCTCCCTCGCGGGAGTGCTCAAGCAATGCAACTGACAATAATACAACTGAAAGCTTGAACCTCCAAAGCTTCTGGGGTATCTACATTATAACTGGTACCACTTCGACAGTCTGTTTTCTCCTATCTCTATTTCGGTTGCTGAAGAATTACCATCAGAAAGAAGAGGAGGACAGAGGCAATGCAACTCCAAGTGATAAGAGTGTTAGGGGAAAAACAGTTACTCCAGCGAGGTATATCTATCATGGAGAGACTGTTATCCCTGGAGGATCTCCAATTTCTTCTCCTTCGCCTGATATTCATGAACGGGACTCTTCAAGGTGGGAATTATCTAGTCCTGAAGATACTCCATAGAATCTTCAGTCCTCACCGCCAGTTGAAATTGAAGTAGATATTCCAGATTCTGACACCTAAAAAAGCAGCAATCTGGTCCATAATTTTAAATAATGGACCGGTGAAAAAACGATCGTAATTATCATCGCAAATTACAGCTTATTATAATATTAAAATAACGATAACGAGATGTTTCGAAACTGTTATATAACGTAACGGGAGTTATTTAAAACTATGATCTGGTCTGACACTCTCTCTCTCTCTCTTCCCATATGCAGTGATAGGTGTCGTTTAGGCATAGGCCACTTCGGACGTTAAATGTTTCTGTTTCGACCAGATCAAGTCCAATTAATAGCTTTACCTTTATAGTTGCTTGGTATTATTAAGTACCCAAGACATCCTGGGAGTTTGCAAAAGAACGGAAATTAATGCTCTTTTCCGTTTAGGCATAGGCAAGAGGTGGCTGCCTCGACCACATCTTTGAACGCTTCGCTCTTGACTTGGTTGATGAAAGGGAAGATGTTGCTCCAACTCTCAAATGTCGCCTATGACCATGGCTGACAGAAGAGAGACATGCTCGCCAATTAGTGTGTAGACGCTATGCTAATCAATTCAGGTTAAACAGAAGAATGCGGGAAGCTATCACATGAGATGAGAAACAATGCCGAAATAAATTCTATACCCATCTTTCATGGATATTGTGTTTTGGCGCAAAGTGATGAGACCATTGACCAAGTTAGAGATTAAACCCACGCATCATATGAGATGCATACTCCAGAATACGACGTTGCAACTACAAACTACTTTCTTTCATGGAACCACAGAAAAATACAAAAAGGAATCTGAATAAACAAATCTCCAAGTCTGCCAACAGTTACTGACATAAAATACAAGCAGCCAAAACCTGACTAAGATACAAGGAATCAGAAATCCTGCAATGCAACTTTGACTGCTAAACTAGTCAGGATTGGGAACTCAGATCCCTATAATTGGTATCCAAATCCAATCTACATGGACATGCTCACAGGAAATTGGGAATATGATGGTGCTAGTCCATAACAAATCAGAAAACGTGTCAGTTCCCTATGTGTATATAATCTCATTTCACCCGAGAAAGAATCTTAGTACATCACTGACTCCTGCTGAATATTCTTCCAGTCAATCACTTCCAAATTCCAGTTCATCTTTTTTCTTGTGGAAATGCGTTGAATTTACCAAAAGCCTCTTCCTCTTCCCCTGCCACGTCCACCCCACCCCCTGCCCCTGCCTCTGCCCCTAGGACCACCCCTTCCACCATAAGATATACCTTCCAATGCCCTGTTAACAAGTTGATTTTGCAGACCACCAGCCCCCTGACCTTTTTTTGCCATGTTCCCAGAACCATTAGCAGCAGCAGCTGGTCGTTTCCCTCTGCACACAAAAATAAATGGCCTAAGAATGGATAAACTGGCCTAAGAATGGGTAAGCTCTTTCTAGGGAAAAAAAAAAAAAAACACTGTACAGAAAATCAGGCTCCTTCATCTAACATAACAATTGCAGATATGTAGAAATTTTATGGGAGTGACTCCCACTTCAGCTCACTGCATTTTATTGGCCAATATCACTTCCAATAGGTGCCTCATACACGAGACATTGCCTAATCACACTCCAAAGATGAAAGCCATGTCACTTTGAACAACATTTTTATCGCTCATTACAAAAAGTATTAACCTCGTATTATCAGAAGCCTAACCCAACAACAAAAATCTCTAGGGTAAAGTACATTTAGCCCATCATTTCTTAATGTTGCACCACTTAAATCCTCAAACTTAAAGAAGTTGCATACTTGTACCCATAGATGTGAATTAGTTCATACCGACTACTGAAAAGGATCAAATAAACTTAATTGCTTCCATGACATATGGGTCTATCAAATTTCCATCCAAATCTATGACAGAAGACTCAATCATAACAACTTGGCAACAAAAATAAAATCACAATTTATCAATTTAAGGCTGACAGAGGAACAAAAAATTATAGGGGCAAAAGTATATTTCACCCCTTTCCCTTTTCGAGTAACCAAATTCTTTCAAGTAACCAAAATCTGTAAAATATATGTGTACACACACACACACACACACAAGGATTAGACATCTCTCATACCCAGCCTGGACAGTAGTGGAAGGCACGGAAGGTTTTGCTACTTCTTTCCAAGAGAGGTTGACACTCTTATCTCCAATAAATGAAGGTGTCTTCGAATGCAACAGCTGAAAATTGTAGAACAATAAATGAGTTGTTGATATTTTACAAATACACAAGCTAGTAATTCACTTGCTCAACAATTCATTCTAAACCTTTGTCATTGCCAAAATGTTATTGCAAGTACGCAACCCAGTTGTAGTATTCTGCTTTTGTGTTTTCTGCACATTAAACGAGAAAATGTTTGTAAGATAGTGCTATGGAAAGCTCCATAGAAGAACATACGATCTCCATCTCCTGAGAAATTAACTTACTATGCTATCCTTTGCTTCATTGGTCTTTGCAGCTGCCATTGCTTTGTTGTGTTCAGCCATTCCCTGAGTTAACTTTTTCATGGTAGCCCTGGTTAGATCTTCTACACTACTCAGCCTGCATAACCAGACACCAAAAACAATGTCAATGGAAGACCCATAATAGATTTACAGAAATATTACAAAGTTGTTGGTTCAAAACCATGAAAATTGTTTAATTGAAAGAAAGGAACATTAATAAACCCTTAAGAATACTAATCACAGCTCTCTTGGAGTTTGAGATGGACGCTATTTATCTTCTTTTTCTCCACAAGTGAATTCATTTTCCTAAGCTGAAAATCTCTCTTTATATTAGAGAAGTTTCCTCCAAGGCTAACATTTATTTAGAAAAATAAAAGCACTGTCATTTAAGGCAGGTGGAGGAAGGCAGGCTGTTGAAAAATAAAGACCTATCTGCACCAATTTAGAGATAGCAAAGTTACACCCAGAATTACAAAACAAAATGAAATAAATAATTGATGAATTATAACTACAGAAAATACTATTTTTGTTCATTTCAAGTTAAAGAACAAAAATCACTCAATTAATGCAAAAAAAAAAAAAAATGTTCGAAAAATCTACTTCTGAGAAAAAATAAAATGTCACCTCTCTGTCAAGTCTGTGTAGAACTCAGAGAAGTCCTCCCCAAGCCGATCTGATGGCTGGCCAGTCACAATCTTGTAACCACACAGGCTGTTTGTAGCGTTTGGAGCCTTTAAAAAATACAAAGATCAAAATATGCATCACAGAGCTGATACATGCATGAGTATGCTGGCAAATGTAAAATCCTGAAATTCCAACCTTATGAGCTAAGTGGTGAAACGCATACAACAAACACTCAACGAAAGTAAAGTTCATCTCTTCTCCGCTCTTCCTTCGCGGCATGTATTTCTGAGTGGCAAAAAAAAAAAAAAAAATGCATAACCATATGAGACCATAGTCCATCAATAAATAAGATTAGAAAGGTTTCCACAAATGAAATACAATAAGAATCCTGCCCATGGACATAAAACTGAAAATCTGAGAGAACAAACACAAAAAAGCATCACTAGACTTTAGAAGTGGATATTGTTATTATTAGAAAGGTTTCCACAATGAAATACAATAAGAATCCTGCTCAAGGACAAAAAACTGAAAATCTGAGAACAAACACACAAAAGCATTACTGTGACATTAGAAGTGCATTTGATATAATAATTTCCTTTTTTTAATACAAATGACTAAATTAATCACAAAAAAAGAAAAAAGTTACCTTCAAAAGCTGAACAACAGAAGGAAGAATCTGACGTGAATCCGGTGGCAATGTAAAAGGTGAGATTTCTGCAAGTGCTTTGAGCAAATCAAGCTTGCGCTCCTCAGGCAACTAGCAAGGAGAAACATTATTAGAATGGACAAGTTCTTTTCAAAAGGCATATACAAGCACAAAGGCAAAAATGTCAACAACAATAAAGATATCTAAAGACAATGAAGAAGCAGAAGGGAACATACTACCTTGTCAAAAACAGGTATGATGTGTTTGTTCAAATAATTGAGAAACCTGCTGCTCGATGCACCCCTCTGTGTTCATAAATTAATGGGGACAAGTTGTAAGGTCAGGAGAACCAAAAAAAAAAAAAAAAAAAAAAAAAAAAAAAAAAAAAAAACCAGTAACAGGAAACACAGTCCGTACCAGGAAAAATGGAAGCGCCATATAAAGGCATGATATCAATCTGTCAATATGATCAGTATCCGAAACCTGTGTTTTTGATACAAAGACAAGTCACTTTAAAGGGATTATAACATCAAGGAGCAAATGTAATATTTGCAACTACTGTGTATTTTGAAGCAAAATGACAACATGCATTGCTAAAGACCATGGAGAATCAACACCAGCACTTACAACATGATATTAAAAAAATATTACAGTTTACAACACCCAGCATACAAAAATATAAGTATATCACATGTTCAAGCATGCACAACTGTACATTGTACACAAGTCACTAGCCAATTGATAGGGATAGAGGAAAACAACATAAAACAGCAAATACAAAAGAAGTATGACTAAAACATGAATCAACTGAAGTTGGAACAAAATACAGATTTAGGGTTTGCTGAGAAACCTCTAAAATCTGATTATAAGAAACATAAAAGATGATTTCATCAAACAGCCCTACCAGCCTATTTATATTAATTAAAAGCCCTAAACCTAATCCTTGTAGAAAAACTCTGAATAATCCATTATGCTATTCTTGGAAATTTTAGATAAGTTGCTGATGTGTAGGGGGTTGCATCTCCCAGCTTAAAATAGAAAACTGTGTGGACCAAAAACATCTTAAAATTTCACATAGAATGAATAATTCAGGGTAATAACAAAGCTGCCAAAGTGTATTTCATCAAATTCCCAAACCCATCTATTCTTTAATTTTGACAGAAGAAGCATGACCAGAGGCATGATTGCATGTTACACCATGCTGTTAGAAGTTATGTGGTGCATAAAAATTTAGAAGCAATTTATCTATATATACACACATACATTGAGACCAGAGAAACAAACATCTCCAAATTAGAATTTTACCACAACGCATTAGTTACTCGTATCTAATCCTCAATATTCATACAAGTCGGTAGAACAAACCTACTTTAGAAGAAAACACATGAGTTTCTATTCTTGTTTAAGAACAGATCTTGCAGTTATTAGATAGGAAGTCAGTGTTTCATAGTTGACAATGAAGTATTAAAATTAGGAACTCAATTCAAACAATAACTCACATGAGTCACATCAAATGCCGAGTCTAAATCAGCCTGTCCTTCAATTATTCCAACTAGCTCTTTCATGCGTTCAGACGGAGCTTTGTCTCCAAATATGCTCAAACTTTTTAAGAAGTCCATAAACATTCTGAACTCTGCTCCAGTTACATCTTCTGAGCTCTGGAAAAAAAAAAAAAAACTATTCACCCATACTCTAGTAGAACAGCAGAATTTAAAGTCTCATTAAAATAACTGTAAAGTTATAAATACCTTTTTAATCAAATCAGTTATATGACGCTCCATTTCCTCCTGAGGTCTCAGGAGTTCACCTTTAAGTGGGAAAACCTGAAAATGGAGTTATTAGTCCTCAGTTGTTAGCCAAAGCGAAGCAAAATTACAACAACCATAACACATAGCTTGAGGTGATCTTCTAACCTTTTCTCTTACAAAGCTCAGAACTTTCTCACGAATAAGCTCATCCGTGCTTGGTTCTTCAACAGTCCCAATATGCTTAAATAAGGCAGACAAAGATGCTGCATAGCAAGAAGAATAGGTACATTTGGGTGGGGGGAAAAACAAAAGGGCAAAAGAGAACCCAAAAAAAAAAAAAAAAGCATGATAGTCAAAACCAAGATAACTAACAATTAAGTTCATTCACTATATTTCATGAAATTTGTGCAAACTGGTAACTGATAAAATTTAAGAACTCATCCTATTGGTAAAAATGCACAGCATTCCACTGCATTGTCAACCCAAAAAAAAAAATTTCCTTTAGGTTAATTCTTCCTCCTTAATGCTCTTCTGTTTTGTCCATATCTAATTCATTTTGATGTCCACCATATGTAGAATTGCAGCTTGAGATGCACTTATAATTAACAAGATGGAGTTTGCCTTTTCTTCTGTTTGTATTTATCAACTCCCCAAAGTTGGGAAGAGGTCCACAATTCTAAATGCATTTGTCTCTTTGGAACAATTATAATTTTCAAGAATTGATGGTGATTGGATGCAAACAAGTCAGTTTACAAATGTACTGTTAGATAGCAATAGTAATACCAATTGCAGCTTTTTAAAAACACGATTCATCATTTACCTGGTCCCATAAAGATAACATTTGCCTAAAACAAAACCATGACATTTCCACCTTCAGACATAAGAAATAGAGGTCTGAAGCACAATATGTGTCAGCCATTAAAAATTATAAATTTTTAATTTTTTAAGGTGTTACAGCAAAGCATGCTACATGTGCTGGTTGAAAATACAAAGCACACAATGTCACTGAGAAAAAGGCAGAATTCATGTACAAGCAAATGCTAATTTTCCTAAACTTCCATCCTACTAAGTTGGAACTGCACAAGATTTGTATCCCAGGGTCCAAAAGATAGTTATGTATTCTTATTTGCACATAATATGATATCCATCCAAATTACTTCCCCCATCTTAAAGATTTACCTTTCACATCCTGCCTCAAGAGGGACATAAGGGCTTTATGCACAGCATCCCGCTCCACAATTTCCTCTAAAATCATTAAGAGAAATCAACATCAAATCCCTGTTACACCAACAAAAGTCCCCTCTCAAAATTTTTTTTTTTTTTAAGAAAACTCGATTACCAGCTGCGAGGAGTTGCACAAGAATATCCACAATTTTTGACAAAAACTCGGGTGTATCCTTGCAGAATAGCGGCAGTCCCCTAATAGCTTGCACCCGAACCTGCACAACCAATTAACACTGAATTCCATACAAAAGGTGAAAAAGCGCACTCTATTTTCACTTACTAAACAAATGCCTAATCAAATTCTTCCTGCCACTAATTTTTCAAGCACACTATAAAAAAACCTAAAACAATGCACCGTGTTCAAAAGACTTAATTCAAACACATAAAAAAAGAGAATTAACAGCATATACTAACCGCGAGCTCTTCTTGTTCAATTAAATCGATTTGCGTCTCGACAGCTTGACTGGAAAGCTCGGGGAAGAACTTGAAGAACCTCGGGATTAGCTGTGCCGCCAACTGCTTCGCTTTTATGCTAGTTTTAGCTGCATCCATAATCCCCTGGTAATCCTTCACATTCTACAACGAATAACGAAAAAACGAAGCAGTTAAAATCACATAATTATAAAATAATTTAAAAGAAGAAAGGAAATTCAAAAAAAAAAATAAAGTAAAATAAAACCCTAGGGTTTACCTGAGACTTGTCTTTGGACTCATTAAGTCGCTCGCCGAACTCGTAGAGTTTCTCGATGTGGCTGGCGTCGTCGATAGCGGTAGCGGTAGCGGTGGTGGTAGAGTCGGTCATTTGGAGAGAAACTGAGAGAGCGTTAAATTTAAATTCTTTCAGATTAACGAAAATGAGTAGTATTTCATTGGATGAGAAGAATTATATATATATTTCTAAAATAACTGGAGAAAGAAAAAGAAAGAGATTTAAATTTAAAGAGGAGGAGACGTACAGATAAAGGAGTTTCAGTCACTAGTAGAGTCAGATAAAGAGAGACTACAGAGAGAAAGAGACACTTTCAAGGGTTTTTTTTTTCCTCTCTCTCTCTCTCTTATTGATTGATGGAAGGAAGAAGAAAGACTGTTATTTATCACGATGAGTCTGCAGGTGTTATCTTTCATGCTTTTTAAACGCCGTCGTTTGCTTGGATCACATACTTTTTAAACGCCGTCGTTTGCTGGGATCACAAAAACGCATAATCATCTTTTCTCTCTTGTTGGAATGTCAATTTTACCACATTCCTTCGTCCTCTGCGACCTGGTATCATCCAATAATTAAACTGAAAGTGGATAAAATCTGATCCGATTTTACCAGAGATAAGGGAAGGTGAAGAGCTCATCCATCGTGTCACCCGACACTATTTTTCAACCTCTTATGATTAATGAAAGATGTGTATTGTTTATTGCTTAGATTTGAACTTTAGACTTCATTTTTTTGGTTTTGTGTTTTATAAATGGAGGTATAGTTTGTTTTTTAAGTTTAAATTTTATTCTTATAAAATTGATTTTGCTAATAAAAATAAACAGTTTAAAAACAGAGGTGATGATGAAATTAGATAATTTAAATTAGACTTTATGACTTATGAAAGATTTGTATAGTTTATTGCATAAATTTGAACTTTAGACTTTATTTTTTTAGTTTTGTGATTTATAAATGGAGGTATCGTTTGTTGAAAATAAACAATTTAAAAACAGAGGTGATGACGAAATTAGAAAATTTAAATTAGAATGACATAGATAAAAAAAATCATAATCCGATTCATTATTATCTTTATTTGTTATAAAAACACACCACTTTTGGTCGATTGGCTAGCATAAATTATAGATGAACTAAGTATTTAGATATTTTAACTTAGAATAGGTGGATAAAAATCATCCTAATCATATACATTATCATTCTTATTTGTTATAAAACACACCACTCTCAGTCGGTTGGTTACTATAAACTATAGATGAATTGAGTTGGTTACTAATAACTTCAAACTCAAGTTTACTCATTACTATTAAGAGTTAAATTTGAGCATTTTTTTAAAGCTTGGGTTAGATCTATAATTCATTTCAATAGTTTTGTGATTTGGGTTTAAATATTTGTATAATTGGTGTTATTGAATAATAACTTAATTCTATTGTTTGCTCATGTGTTTCCAATTCAATTAATATGTCTATATGTTATTTGATTTGAATGAATTTATACCAATTAACAAAAACTCGTTTAAATCAAACATTATTTTTGAATGACATGGTAATAAGTAGGTCTAATCATAAGAAAGAAAAATTATACTTGAAGTTCCAAATATGAGAGACAAAGTTAAAAATAAATAAATAATAAAACGATCGAATAGAGCACAATAAATTATTCTTAAATACCAATTTAGAAAACCAAAACCCTAATTTTTCTTTTTCCATCTCTTACTCATTGCCTCTACAAAATCCAAAAAATCTCAATCAATATTTTTCTCATCTAATATCCTTCTTCTATTTTTATCTCTCTCAATATCTTCTTCTTCTAATGGCCGGTACATCAGCATAAACCGATTGCTCAACAACTCGTAAAAAGGAGTCCATCCTCGAGAGGGAAGGGTGTATCTATGTTCTACAAATATGAAGATCCATCTCCAATGAAAACTTCATTGACGACGCTAAACATAGGTAAGAGATTTATGGAGTGTGAAAATTATTTAACAAAACAACTATAGTTTTTCTTAATAGGTTGATGATGAGATGACTAAGTGGGCAAAAGGTTTGATTTTGTTCTTGAAAACCCGTAATGATAGATCGAGGAAGCTTAATGAGGAATTGAAGAAGAAACTTATAAATGGAATGGGTATTAGGGACTTGCAATATGATGATGGAGTTGAAATGGGGATGCCGACCACTTTGAAAATTTAAGCTAAACGTTTGCGTAAGATATTGATTAGGTTAAACCGAAGCTCTAAATTGAAAATTTTAATTGGAGTAAAGGGAGAGCACTATAAAATTCTACACGTCCGTTACTAATCCCTATACCGGTTAACATTGTCTTTTTTTTTTTTTTACCGGAGTTTTGGTTGAATGGTTGTATAGCAGATTTGGCCACTATAATTTAAATTCAAATAATAAAAATGATTATTTAGTTCAATGCTTATGTTGTGAATTATAAAACAAAGTCTTGCATAGTGCAAGCTTTTAAAAAGGAGAAAAAGGCCTAAATTGTCTTGCAAGCTAATATTTTCAAAATATCTTACCTTTTGATAGTTTTAATGAATATTGATAAGTCCTCAAGTATCTAGACCTATGACAACACAAATCAATTTCTATTTCGATTCTTTTCTAATCCTCTATATGGCATATGTGTATTTTTTTTTTTTTTTTTACAGGGTCAAAAGCTAAAGCTTCAAGAAACAAATACCGGCAAGCATCACTAGACAGGATGTCTCCAATGCTAGGTAGAGGAAGATTCCAAACTCAAAAGAGAGCATCATTCGAAAAACCAATACGAACAAGATGATAGCCTCTTAATAATCTTTTCTCAATGTATGGTTAAAGAATACATACCATTATCATCGACAAAGACATAAGATATCAATGATGAAGTTGTAAGAGGGATGGGTAGGTAGAACTCCATTATAAATAGTATTGACTACTTTTGAAGAGTTAGTCTCTATAATCACTTTCCTAAAGCCACAATCCTAAGCCAAGATAAGTCCCCGATATACTCGCTTCTAACTCGATATACCGCTTCTAACTCTTCCATCATAATAGATAAGTGCTCAAGATATATTGAAAAACTAATTTTTCAAACACCACAATGGTTTTGGATAAGTCCTTTTATCTTAACAAGGGTAATCGAGCTCAAAAAGCTACTATTAGTATTACACTTAACTAAGTCTTAAAAGAGGGTTAACTAAGAAACCCAACACTAGGGAGTAGGCGGATAAGCAGAAGGTGAGTCATCAAAGGCTAAAACACGAGTTATAAATAAAAGAGTGAATTAACTTTACTTAACACTTGAAGGAGAGAACATCACCTTGAATTACTTCTTTATTACACGTACACTAAATAATCCAAGCAAGAAAGAATAAAGAGATGGCATTACTTTCAAGTAGTGTTTGTATAGAAGGCGGCATTGTCATAAAACCAGATCTTTCATAAAATTGAGGAGAAACTAAAGGAGGTAGCAATGGTATGTAGTTGATACCAAATAAACTTAGCCTAAACACAATCTCGAATGATATGTAACATTGTTTCTTATGCCTCGCCATACTTTTGGCATGTAAGAGATGAGGAAATATCTTTGTAGAATCGAAAGAAATTAGTAGAAAGATGTTGCCACTCCAACTATTATAGGAAGAATCGGTGTTTTTATGCTAGCTTTAAACTCCAAATGCTCTTTCAATATGATTTTGACTCTATCAGGTGAAGAACTATGGTGATAAACTCATATCCAAAATTAGTAGTTAATTAATTTATAATTTTTATTTATTTTTACATTAAATTTATTAATACATTATGAGCCATATTAAGCTAATTAAGGATAATATGATATTTATTGGTTTTGTAAAAAAATGACAAGAAAAGCTAATAAGTCCAATCTAAGTACATGATGGGTAACAAGTCTATTTAAGCTCATTTCTCGAAAGAACACACACAACTATGTAAAGAATATATTGCATGTGTGTGATTTTGCTAAAGAATATACATGGACATGCAACACATGATCATGTGTCTAACTCAAGATCCATAAGCTCCTGCTATGAAGTTATCGCTCGTATAGATATCAAACACTTGATCGTGTGTGTTGTGTCCTACCTAGCACGCACACACACATGCATATATATCTATGTGTGTGTGTGTGTGTGTGTGTGTGTGTGTGTGTTTAGGTTTTATTTCGGGATAGAGAGGTTTTCTTTAGAGCGAATAGACTATACTATTATTTTGTTTTTAGTGCCGATTATCTTGTATAAATTCAAGGGGATTTCAAAGCTCTCATAGGCATGTCAATGGTGTAATCTAATAATGTATTTCTTATTCTCTTGTTACTAGGATTGATTATGTTATTCGACTTTATTTGATTTATGATTTCTATTTGATTTATTTGGTTTGGTCGACTAAATTGATTTTTATAAATTTCTATAGCTAGACATAGAAATTATGATATGTATAATTATCATATTTTTAATCACTTAGTAGTGAATAGTGGTAGATGATTATAAATAATTTTTTATCTTTACCATTATGAATAACATAACTTAGGTTAAATAATTCGAGTTTATGAGTTTATTGCTTACATTGGTTTATTTTTCTAGTTCATAAAGTTGTCATGTATTAAATTTACAGAGCTTATTCTAGATTGTGTTATAGTTAGAATCTAATTAAAAAACCTATTTCATTAGTGATACCGAAGAAAAATTCATATCATAAAACTTATTGCTATCTAAGATCAATAATTCCATAAGAGAAGCCGACTAGTTTACCGTGGCTACATTCATTGAGTATGAGAGTAGAGATTAAACCAAGAACCGATTATTATTTATATTGTTTTTAATCTATTCGACTTGCTCGTCTTTATTTGTTCATTAAAGAACCGAACATTAAAACCCTTTTTTTATTTCATTTTCTTTTAAAACAATTAGATATCTAAATCAATTCTCGCAATGTTGACCCTTGCTTACCCTAGTTACCGTTTAGTGATTAGGTCTAGTAAGCAAATAATTTGATTATTTTGAAGCATTCAAGACGTTATCAAAATTGGCAATGTTGCCGGAGAATTGTGTTCTATTAAAATTTTCTTATTATCTTGATTTTTTTATTTTATTTTATTTGTTAGGTTAATGGATGACTCAATCCTCTTATACGAGTGACTTAAATTTTGATTTAAAACTTGAGAGGACTTTGCATAGATTAAAAAGATAGTCCAGGCACATTCCTACGAATTTAAATCAACTTCGAATCGACTTTTAATTTCTTACCAAGAATCAGTATAACCCTTGAATTCCTCTCTAAGAGTTCTTCTAGGGATTCAAAAAAATATAAGTTATGGTTGTAAATAAAACTTTGAAAGAGCTAGCTACTTCGATTTAAATCAACCTTTGTTTATTGAGTTTCTTAATTTAGATGTTGCTTTTGAATTGAAATCGAGACTAATACACTTATTACCTAAATTTCATGGTCTTATAGGAGAAGATCCTCATAAAAATTTAAAGGAGCTTCATATGGTGTGCTCAAGCATGAGGTCGCAAGGCATTTTGAAGGAACACATCAAGCTACGGGCTTTTCTATTCGTTTAGATGTGGATGTAAAAGATTGGTTGTACGATCTTTCTAAAGGCTCAATTAATTCTTAGAATGAGATGAAACATGCTTTCTTACTAAATTATTTCCTAATGTCATAAGTTCGTAGTATAAGAAAAGAGATATGTGATATCCAGTAGTTCAATAGGGAGACTTTATATGAGTACTCGGAGCGTTTTAAGAAGTTGTATATAGGGGTGAGTAAACGATTTTTCGGTTCGATTTTTAACTATTTTGATTCATTTTTTGGTTAACCGAACATAAAAAAATTACAACCGAACCGAACCAAATAACAATTCGGTAGATAAATTTTGGTTTCAAATTATTTCGATTTTTATTTTTGGTTTTTCAATGTTAATCGAAATTATCAACACTACTACACTTATCCAAAAGGAAAGTTAGAATATGAATCGAAAGTTCAAGTTCACCATCCCACAACCTATAGTATTTATAAATATTTTCGAACTCATACATGAGTTCTTTTTTGATGTGGGATGATTTTAAATCTATTAGTTTTAGTTAGTGAGATGGGTTGTTTATAGACCTTTTCAAGTCTCAAAAGCATTTTTTTTTTCGATATGGGATAGTGAACTTATCCTTTGAGATTACCTCTATCCCACATCGCTTAGTTTAACTTTTGGAGAGTGGAGGATAGGTTATAAATTAAGTCCGACTTATCTTCTTTTACTTGTGGGTTATGATTTATGTGGGCTTTATCCTTTAAAGTTCATAGTATTTTATGGGTTGAAGTTCGAATTTACAAGAGTCAAGTGAAAACCCAAAAGCCCAATTTCAATTAAATTTTATTTTTAAGCTTATTTTAATTTATATAAAATATAAATAGGTTGGGTGTTCGGTTTTTGGTGAAAACCGATTTAAATTTTTAAAAATCGAAATCGAAATCAAAAAATGATCAAATTTCGATTTGTTTTTTTTTAATAAATTGAAATAAAAAATCGAACCAAATTAGGTATTTCGGTTCGATTGAATTTGATTTTTGGTTAACCGAACCATTTGCTCACCCTAGTTGTATGCAAGTTACCCACAACATTTAATTTCCGATCAACTCCTAATTATGTACTTTTATAAGGGCTTGTTATTAATGAATTAGACTATGATTGATAAGACATTGAAAGCTACGAAGGCCTTAATTTCCTATATGGTAGCAAATTCCTAACATTTTAGGCAAGAATGAATCACACACCAAAAAAGGTTAGTGAGGTGAATATTTCCAACCTTGAGCAAGTAAATGTCAAATTTGACCTCTTTAGTGAGACAAGTGGTTGTTGGGAATATACAAGTCGTCAAGGCATGTGGGATTTGTTCGATTACCGATCATGCCACGGATATATACCCAACACTTCAAGAGGGATCTATTGAGTAAGTCAATGCAGTTGGTAACTTTTTAGGATAGTCAAGATAACATTATCCTTATTTCAACTCATATAATTTTGGTTAGAGGATCACTCAAACTTAAGTTATAGAGGTAATAGATAAGCATGATAAATTTTTTACCAAAGAAAAACAATAAGGTTATCAATCACAACCTACCTTTTAGAATTAGGTCATCCGTAGAGGACATAGTTAAGTCCCTTACTCTAAATACCAAGTAGTTCCAAC